AAAGCTTATGCCCAAATAAATTTGTTAGTCTCTAAGGTGTCACAACGACTCCTTGTTGTTTTTACCTGTTATAAGTCATTCCAACATCTTGGGACCCTGCCCATCTGCTCAGGAACCAGGATAAGAGATGAAAAGTTAAGACCTGTGCACCAGCAGATCTGAGTCGTCATTTGGTCTTTTTCCTTAAGTAACCTCTACTCACTTCGTGCTGGAAACGCCACAACTGTCACAGGAGAATGGATGTATTTTGAGATGTACTTTGAGACTGGCTAGCAGGTTCTGAGCAGATGATCTTCCCCTGTTCCAAGAGCTGAGCACACCAGCCTGCGGAGGATAAAACAGAGTCTAGTATCTGCTGGTATCAGACTGGGTAATGCTTAGTGCTATGTCAAGGCCACTAAGTCAGGCAGTAAAGGGAAAATAATCTCTTCCTTTGTAGTAATGGGAAGACCAATTATTTTATGGCTTGTAGTTTCCTATGAACAACCTATTAGGTCTTTTTTTTTTTTTTTTTTTTCTTTCCCCCTCATCAGGGAAAACTTGACAATAGTGACAGAGTTGGGTGATAGAGCAGCCCAGGGACGTGCGTATGGAAATCTGGGGAATACACATTACCTTCTAGGCAACTTCAGGAATGCTGTTATAGCCCATGAACAGGTACAAGACTGTACTTCTATGGAATTTTGTTTATTTTAGCAGAACACTTTTCAGCTGCTGATTGATCCTCTGTATGCATGTATTTTCTCTGTAGGCTTTTTAAATGCTAACTTACCATACTTCACTGATACTTAATAGTACAGATTCAAGCGCTTATACAATCTTTTCAAGAGTTGTTTGCTTGTAGAGCAATCAAATGTTGATATGAAGTGGTAAAGCCCTATAAATGTTTTCTTGGAGATAAATTTGTGAAGTGCAATGACTGAGTACATCAGTAAGATTCTGTGTTTTTAAGCGTCTCCTAATTGCAAAAGAATTTGGTGATAGAGCTGCTGAAAGAAGAGCATACAGCAATCTTGGAAATGCCTACATATTCCTGGGCGAATTTGAAACAGCTTCTGAATACTACAAGTTAGTTAATTTATTTCTTATATATAAACATAGTACCAATTCTTTTTTACATAATCAAAGTAGGCAAGTCTTTACCTCTGTTAGTAATAATAATGCTTAGCATTTGATATATTGCTTTATAATCATCCTTACAACACAGATTGGGAGAGAATTAATTATGCAGTGCTTAACGGAATTTTTAAATTAATTTTCTAGTCATTTGACTGTTCAGCCTTTCTTAAAGTCTGGATTTTTGTATTATGTCTTCTCTACCTTTTCTAGTAAGAAGGAATATTTAAAGAGGCACTTCTTCAGAGTACAGGTTATTGCTTTCTGTTAACATGCTTTTACTAGCTTTCTCCTCTGTCCTAAGCATGTTGCCTTGATACCCACCAAATTCTAGGATGATGATCCACAGACTTTAAGTACTTGTATTGAGATTGGTAGTGCATTAGGAAATAACTGAAACATGCCAAAGGCAGTCTTGCATAGTGGGCTATATACTCATACTTTATTCACGAACATCCCTTCTTTATCTCCTAATCTTCTGCACAGCAAGGCAAATATAGTTGCTGCGCAGAGTTCAGTAAAATTAAACGTTAGGTACATGGGCTACATATGAATTCAGATTTCAGCTGTAAAGCCCAGGACTCCTCATGTTTTCAAAAGGGAGAAGAACTGACCTGAACATTTGTCAAACATCAGAGGGGTAGCTGTGTTAGTCTGGATCTGTAAAAAG